TAAGTATGCTTTGTAATCATATAAATGCTAACCAAGTCAATTATTAAAAAAAAAATACAAATTTTAAACTTAAGTATATCATTATAATAGTAGTCGAAACAGAAATTAAATTAAAACATATTTAACACAACTATAATGGCATGTCATTATATCTATAAATTATTTGAAATATAAGAGAACAGTTATATTTTGTTAGGACATGAATTTTTATGTAATAAAAAAATAGATATTTATGTTGTCAGTTTTGCTAAAGTATGTATTTTTAATACATACAATATTAATAAAACATTTTATTTTTAAAATTTAAATTAAATTTAAAAAAAGTATTGAATAGAAAAACAAATGAACAAACAAGAGTAATAGATTGTACAACAGATATGAAAATATTAAAAATTTTTACCTATTTTATCTAAATTATGAATTATAAAAATGTATGATAGATTAAAGTATTTCATGTAGAATTATGGTTATTTATGAATAATTTATCTGTGAATAGGAAAACATACAAGAATAAAATAGTTAGTAAAATATATGCTTATTCATAAAATATTTGAGAATATGCATGAACTTCATAATGAATATATTTTATTTTATTTAGAGTGTTATGAAATATGTCAATTTTAAATTATAATTAAGAAATGTATATCCAATAAAATTAAGGATGTATATAAAATTTTGTGACCTAATTATTATCTATTGAATGTGGGTACTAAATGTAGAATTTCAAAACAGGTTTTTTTAATAGTATTATTTGACCAATTGTATTTTTGATATGTAATGGATTAGACCTTTTTACACATTTTAGATGAATAGTTGCTTTTGACAAACCGTCTAGATATGATAACATATGCTAAAATAATTTGTAATAATTCTCATTTTATTGGCGTACCCAGATATTTTTTTACATTCATAAATTGGACTTTTCAAAATAAAATATAGTGTATATTTAAAGAATAATAAAAACTAATTTCTACATTTTTAAGGTGATCTTTTGCAGAACATAATCGATCATGGGCCATTAAAAGAGAATCAAGCTCGTATATGGTTTAGACAGCTGACATTAGCAGTGCAATATTTACATACTAAGGAAATAGTACATCGGGATATAAAATGTGAAAATATTCTCATTACTGAGCATTATACTATAAAGTTAACAGATTTTGGTTTTTCAAAATTTGTTAAGAGTTCCAAAAAACTGAACTGTAATACTTATTGTTGTTCATTGGGTTATGCATCGCCAGAAATATTGACTACACGTCCATATGATGGTAAAATATCTGATATATGGTCACTTGGAGTAGTATTATATGTAATGCTCAACAAGAAAATGCCTTTCAATAGAAAAAACATGAAGTTAATGTATAAGCAACAAGTACACTATCACTCATTACATGTATTTTTTATATATTTAAAAAATTGTTTTTCTTTTTAATTAAAATTATTAAAGGTCAAACGAGATTGGGGACATCAACCCTCAGTAGAGAAAATTATAAGTGAAAATGTAAAAATGTGTATAGATAGTATTTTACAACCAGAGCCTAGAAAACGTTGGACAATTGAAAAAATATTGGATAGTGATTGGATAAAAATGAATCAAAAATTGGTTAAAATGACCGAACAAGAGTCATTTGCTCTTATTGAAGCTCTAAATCAAGATAAAACAGTAAACCAAAAACACTTAAAAAAGATCAAAGCAAATAAGTCAGATACTCAACAGATATTGGGCAAAAGATCTCCAAGATTTTTTAGTATAACGGAACAGTTGAAATCAATATCTAGTTCAAATAGAAAAACAAATGACAGAAATGCATCTAAATATATGCTGAAACGTTCACAACGTATTGTACACACAGATAACTTAATAAATAACAAAACTGACATAGCAAAAAATTAAAAATAATTTAAATAACAATAAATTAATCATTTATGTGATACATACTTTTATTGTAACCGTGCAATATTGGAAATGTGGTAAAGTATTGATTGCTATATTAATATAGGTATGATTTGTACTGGTGATTAAGCCCAAAAATAGGCTTTGCCAGTCTTGAGTATTAACAAATCTAATACGATTGAGCGGACATTGCAATAAAAGGCACATTGATAAAGTTAAATCTATAATTTAGAAAAAAAAAACAATTGATTAAATACTTATTAAATATTTTAATAAAATATATTGTTCTAAAACTATGAATTAATTTTTATAAATAGTTTAGGTCTGATATTCAAAGTATTTGCCTATCAAAGATTCCTGTTATTTAAAGTGTACTTACAGTAACATTTTGGTACCACACAATTTTAAATAAATTATTATGACATATGATAAATTAAGTAGTCCAATAGGTAATGTTTTAAAAAAAAATTAATTTACTAATGATATGTTGATGTTATAAAATTACTTACAATGGTTATCTTCTTTTTTTAAAATTTCAGTGATATGCTCAATCAAACGAGATTGATGTAAATATCCTAAAGCATCACGAATTTTACACATCGCGTATATTATTTTGGAAACTAATGGTCGTTCAGGTAATAAACGCATTAAAATACATATGTTATCAATACTTTTTTTTTCACTATTTCCTAAAATCTAAAATAATAAGAAATTTTTTTTTAGCTATGATAATTATTTTTATAAATTAACCATCATTACCTGTACAACAGTGTCTAAGCTATTTTTTGCATGTTTTAACTCTAAAACACGATATAAAATAGCAGTTTGGGCTCGTAGAACAGCCATAACTATTTCATTACATTCTGACTTTAAGGAATCAGAAATTATCTTAACAGCTTGTAACTTTAACATTTCTGAACAACCAGTTTTTGATGAATTTTCCCATATTTTTCTAAATCAATAAAAATTGTGTTGAATATTTGATATAAGTTATTAACTATAGTATAATAAAGTTAACCAATCTTTACCTAAGAGCTCGAATTGCTGTATATCTTGTAATATCACTATCAGTATTTGATAATACTTGTATAGTTATACTATGAATATTATGTTTGTACATAATTGGAATATGGGCTTCAGATTTAGCTAGATTGGCGATTAACCTAAATATACGATAGTGAATTGAATCAACATTTATATTTTTCATTATGAAACTAAGATCTTTGAGAATACCATAATTAAGTAACTGCAATAGAATAATGTTAAGAGTTAACATATAAACAATAAAATAAATAAAATCGATTTTTATTTGATTGATAAAGTAGCTAAAATTACTTCCTCACAACACTCTGAATTCATGCTGTAGTCTCCAAGAATGCTTAAAACTAATGATGTTATTTTTGGGTTAACTTGTTGTAATAATCTACTCAATATTCTGATACCACCATATTCTCGAAATTCTTTTAATCCTCCATTTTTTTTTGCCATTTCGGAACGTATATAAACTAGACTTCCATAAATACCGCCCTTATCAGCAGCAAGATTTGCAAGTGCTGAAGTGATTGAATCCATATCTAAAATAATTTAATAATTTATTAAATAAATTTAGTGTCTTTCCAAATCAATAATAATTTATCATTTTTCAATGTTAGTATGTAATTAGTAATTACAAATTGTAAATTAAAAATAATTCTTGCATTAGTTCAAAACTAATGCGTATTCTTGAACGTTTTTTCTATCGTTTATATTTTTTTTTTATTGTAAATACATTATTAAATGTGTATTGATTTGATTTGATAAAAATTACTCATTTTATAATTAAATATTTTGTTAATCAAAACGTATATTAAATTCTTTACTTTTAGTTTGGATATAAATAGTGAAATATTAAAACAAAGTGGTGGTCGATATGGTCATTTTTTTACAAAATTAATGGAAGATTGGATCATAAATAGATAATTAAAAATTGTTTTTATGATAGTTGTGTTAGGTATACTATATTTCGTTAAATAACTAACTATATATACTAGGTTACTATATATTTAAAATGTTGATGATCCATGTAGAAATATTATTAACAATATGGATAGTCAGATACCTAAAATATAATATGGATTAATATAATCATAAGTTATTGATTTGTACTTCATATTATCATAGTAATGTATAGAAATTACAAAGGAATTTATAAATTAATCATTAACATTTTTACATTCATATACCTACAATACAGCTAGTCTACAACAAAAATTAAACATAAAATACAATATTTATTGTTCATTAACTTTGTATTTTCATTTTTTTTTTAAATATATGTAAAAGCTGAAATGCTTTAAAATATTTACATTCATATTGATTTGATAACAGTAAAAATAGTTTTGAACATTTAAATTTAAAAATTAAATAATGCTATAACTATATCAGTTGTTATTTTATACAACTGATAGTAAAAAATTAAAATTTAAAAACAATTGTAATAAACAATTAATTGGCACATTTAATAGGAATTACGACCATTCCTTTTACTACCGGTGGTGGCTTACATAGTTATATGGTATTACAAAAAATTATTTTAAATACTTACCAGTGAAATTATTCTACGTAATAATTGCAGACAGCGTCAACAATAATACAATCAATTACTGGATAATATGTAATAACACTAGGATAGAAATGCAAATTTGAGATCCTACGAAATAATTATCATATAAATCATAAATTCCGAGAGTCGACTTGTTTTCGATACGCTTGGAGAGGCATTTTGGATATTTGGGAACACCTACTTCATACAGAACAATATTTGGTAATTAAAAATGTAAAGGTGTATTAATAATAATGTTATACTAGTAAACTACACACTTCACAGTGCACTACTCTATAGTAACTACGAATTACGTTCAATAATAATAATAATTAATAAGTAATATCACAAATTCGCAACCGATAATGATCATAATATCATAATCATATTTTGTTTGTACTTTGTTAGAGAGAGTTTATTGTATTTTATTCTATAGTTATATTGTGGTTTTATGGAGGTAGTTTTTCTTGTTTGGTCGACTCTGATAACCGTTATCATATTGTCTGTTAATAGTGTTAGTTTAATTTTAATAGTTCATTGCTCATAGATATTAGATACGGTTTGACGGTCTTTGATTATAAACTGTAGATTGTAAAGTACTAGAGTGTAGAGTGTAGAGATGCGTTGAGCCAAAGTTACAGCTGAAAATTAACAATTTTATTTTTATTATTGATCCTTAAAACAATTAACGACGTTTGTGGTAATTATAATTTACGCTTGCCATTGTTTTGTATTTAAAGTTCAAATTCATATTTGATTTGTAACATGTGAACACGAACTTTCGAATAATAAAATGCCGACTGTAGTGACTGTTCAGAATTTGTACATTTTTAACTCGTTATTATCAAAAACTGAGGACGATGTAAGTACTCATTTACATGTTCTTACTACATTTTGTGCAATTTGTTGTTACGTACCGGTTTTCACAACTAAAATTACCTCTAAAAAATTTAACTAATAGTTCATAGCTTTATTGGCCATATTGGTAATTCATAGATTACTCTACTCGTTCAAAAAATATTTTGCTTGATTTAAAATAATAATTTTTATATATTTATTGAAATCTGATTTTTTTATACTTCATGCACTTGTAATATTCTTTACTGAATATTCTATTTTTTGTATACAGGGAGCTAACAAAATACTGTTTTACTATCCAGCAAATGAGGACGAGAACAAAAAAGTTCTCAATGTTGGTCACATTGAAGCTGTCATTTGTTTTACACGGTTTGCTATTACATTTGTTCATTATATATATATTGGTAAATGTTTTTATTTGTATACTAATATTACAGGAACTTTAATGCAAATGAATCATGTGAATCTTTGCGTACTGAAAAAACATTAAAAGTGTTATACAATGCAGAGCCGGATTTTTGGATAGTTATTGTAATATTATTGCTTGTTTTTAAAATTAATTTTATCAATTTCTAGGTTTCTTTGAAATTATCTTAGTAATTGTAACATTATGTTCATTAGACTGTGTCAGCAGAATGTAAAGTTAAACAAAAGTCTTCAGAGTCTCCAGATGAACATGTGTATTGCACATATAATCTTCAAGAACCAATTTATTTGGCCATCTTGAAACACTGGTATCATACGTTTCAAATGACTGTAGGTAATATGACTAAGTTAATGAAAGATAATGATCCAGATTATCTCAGACTTATGCTTAATAAATTTTATAGCAAGGTTAGTTTTTGATTTTTACAACATATATTTAAATATAATATAGTGAATACTAATACTATTCAAATTTGTTTAATACCATATAATTTAATTTTAATTTTAAATGCTTAGATATGTGTTTTTTTTTTTTAGTATTTACAGAATACTGATGTATCGAGTCATACATTTATGGATATGTTTCAAGGCATCAGTTTTCTTCCCTTAGATAATGTAATTCATTTGTATGCGCAGAGTTTTCTAAATACTATTGAAAATACATTTCCACAAGTACATTTTACAATGTTACTTTATAATGATTCACTTGTTTGGTAACTATTTAATTTATATTCATTTAAAAATTAGATTATATGCCAAGGTAAATTTTCTTTTTCATAAATATAAATTAATTACTATGTATTTTAGTGTTAATATGCTAAGAATTTTCTTTAAATACTTATAAATGGAGTCTGGCAACAATAACTAAAATGCAATTGTGTCTTAATTTATAAAACTTTAATATTTATGTAGGCTCTAGTTTTAATATCATACTAATGATTACTAATTACAAATAAGAGTTCTTAAATTTGAATTTATGAAATTGAATAATAATGATTTATGTGGAATGATAGTCTAACATATAAAACGTCTCATATCATTATTTGCTATATTATTTATTTCACTGGTAATCTGTTTTGATTTTAGATTCTGAGCAGAGTGATGAATGTGTTAATATTACAATTATGTGTTTATTTTTATTTTTGTGCTCATTATTATATTTTAGGGTAGTAAAAATGTTTTTATTTTTTATTTTGAAGGTACTTGAAATTTTTTTACAAAAGGTTTATATTATTATTATAGTACTTATTTTAAATACATGATAAAATATTTTGACTACTTTTGAGCCATTTATACTTTTTGAGTTTTTGTTGTTGAAATTTAATTATACTATTTGTGGGTACTTGAAATCTCTGAAAGTGTGTTATTTTATTTTATACACATTTGATATTTCTTAATGCAATGTTTTTGGCAATAAAAATATATTATAAAATTTACTAATTACTTAGTAATATAAGTTGATAAACCATCTTTGCTCAGAATGATTTTTTGTAAGCAATGATTTAATGTATGCATTATATTGACTTACTTCTTAATAATAAGGCGACCTACTGTACAACAAAGTAGTGGTTACCTACTTTTTTTACTTTTTTTTATTATTGTTTGACGTTTGCTTAGGAGTGGTCTGAATAAACGCCAAACTCAACTTGTATATTCCTATATTTTAATGTGGGTCTTACCAGAAATTACAAAAAAAGACCATTTAGTTAAAGGAAATTTAGTGCAACAATGTTTACCTAATCAATTAGTTGGAAGGTAATAATTTAAATAATTTATATATATTTATATTTTAAAATGCAATTTTTTTAGTTTGACTTTTTAAATAGGTTTATAACAAATATTTGGGCAGTAAAAACAGATAGTTGGATTAGTGATTTGGGTAAGGTCCCTATTTTATGGTTGAATGATGAAAATGACAAAACATTTAAAAGCTATAGACTAGTTATGTATAAAGCACATCACTCAATTGTATGTATGTTTATTAAAAGTAAGTATCATAGAATATGATTATATGCTATAACAAATTTGTTTTTTGACAGTGATAATTGATTTTAGTGGAAAATCCACTGACAGCAGATTTGTACAATACCTTAGATCAATTTCTCGGGACAAAATTATATTTGTTATCGGAAAAGATGAAAAATACAGTTGAAAAGACATTGGCTTCAAAATTATACACTGAAAGACCAGCTAAATTTGTGTATTTTAATGCTATGAATTTAGCAATTAAAAATTCAATTAAGTATTCAAACGCAATTGCTACAACTAATAGACCATCTGAATTTAATCTTAGTCCAGATGCATTACGAGTCTTAGTTGATATTAGCAGCCAACAATCTTGGTGTGTATAATTCTGATTAAAAAAATATATTATGTATATGGTATGTAAACACTAATTGAGAATACTCAATATATCTGTGTAGAGCTCTGCAATTTGAATTCAGTCTTTTATTTGGTTATTTTGACATAAAATACTTATTTTTATGGCCTTTGAATGTTTTTAATTTAATTAGACACGACATGCGCAGTACAACTTTTATTGCTTAAATGGTAATTACCTGTTTCAAACTCTAATTATTTTTTGTCTATTTTTGTTAAATGAATTTTGGCAGTTAAACAACTCTCCAAGTCCAAAATTGACTGAGTTATATTAAATTAACCAAAAAAACTATAACATGTTTGGGATTTTTAGTTTTTTGACTATAACTATAAAAAATAAATATTCTAGGATTATTTAGGCTTGACATTTTCTCTCCTATTTATTAAGGCGATATTAATATGTTACTATAATTTTAATTTCCTTTATAATTTTCATTTGAATTTATGTATGAATTATAATTTATAGCAGAAAAAACATAAATAAGTATAATTGTTTATTTCATTACATTTAATGGATTTATTGGAATTTATAAATGATTAATTATAAATTGATTCTTATTTAAGTTATAAGTTTATTCAGTTATTTATTAATTTAACTTATAAATTGTTCTTTCAAGTAATTTTCTTAATTTTTATTTAGCTAATGTTCTAAGTTAGTTAGTTTCATTATTTTTATTAATTACTTCAGATAGAGGACATTCTGCCTATAATTTTATTCAAAACTCTATTAAAACTCATATCACCTTAATAAATAGAAGCCTAAGCCATCTTAGAATATCTATTTTTAGAGTTATAGTAAAAAAACTAAAAATCCCACACATTTTGTAGTTTTTTAGTTGATTTACTACAAATTAGTAAATTTTGGACTTAAAGAGTTGGTTAAACTACTAAAATTCATTAAAAAAATTGGCAAAAAAATAATTAATGGTTGAAACAGGTAATTGCCATTTAAGAAATAAAAGTTATACTGTGCATGCACATGTCGAATTAAGTTAAAAAAAATTCAAAGGCCATAACAATGTGTATTTTATGTCATAATAACAAAGTAAAAGACTGAATTCAAATTGCAGTGCTCTACACTGAGATATTGAGTATTCTCAATTAGCGTTTACGTACTGTATATGAATCATAAATTAATTTATTATGCATGTATTAATTGTATACTATTTCATTTCAGTATGCATCCAACCTATTCTGTTATGATTAAAACATCTAATGATAATTGGGTAGCTGGAAGATTATGTAATTCACGGGAAATTTACATAGTGCTGAATCAAAAGTTGACTAAATTATATGATGTAGATTGTGAGTATATAAATTTCTAGGTGACTTAGATTAGGGATGTCCAACCCACGGTTCCCGTTGAATATGAATGCAGCCTTTACTTCAATTTAAAAACCATCAATTAATTGTTTAATATACTATTATTTATTATTATGAGAAAAAAAATTATTTTAAGAATATAAAACAACAAAATGTTAAAAATCATATATTTTATAACCTACACAACTTCTATTCATATGATGTGACCCAGTCTTCACAAAAAATTGGACACCCCTAATTTAAATAATATCAAAATTTAGAAGATTTCCCTTTTTTATTTTCAGCTGAAATTCAAAGTCTTTGTGCACAGGAATTTGGAACAATATTTTTTTATGATTAATAAGTTATGATTGATAACCTTAAACTATAAATTAATATGATTAATTTCAATTTTTACAAACAAGAACAATTTTTTTTTTTTAATTTTTGTTAATGAAATGAAAATGTAAAGTATACAACTGTTAAAAATTATATTTATTATATTTATTTTTAGATTGTATCAAAATAATTTGATAATTAAAAGTACTATTATAATTGTGGTTGTTAAAAAAAGAGTTCTAAAATTAACTTTATTATTTAAAATTAACAACAGAAAGAAGTTTCTCGACATTAAGACGTTTAAAAAACTATTTGAGGTCAACTATGGGTCAGGACCATTTGAACGGATTAGCTGTTTTAAATATTCAAAATGAAATACCTATAAATATTGATGAAGCTATTAATATATTTTTGAGATCATCTAGATTTTATTTATTCTAGAAAGATAAAGACAGAGGATTGGTCAATTTAAATTGTTTATTTAAGTCTTGTTATTATTATAGCTAGTATAATTAAATAAATTATTATAATATGCATAAATATTGAATATTTTATTCACTTTTAAAATTCAAACTTAATGCCTATGTTTTTATGTATACATGAAGTAAATTTTGTTATCTAGCCCCCCCCCCCCATATTTAATTTCTAGATCCGTGCCTGAGTACAAATATCTAATGCTTTAAAATTGAGTGAATGAAGCCAGAAATTACGTGAAGACAGCACTGATGGGAGTGACATTGCAGATGTTTACCAGGTCTCAATCTCGCACACTGAAAGCGATGTAGTTTCTACATTTTATGCAAATAGATGCAATGTCAGAACAAGAAAAATGTATTTAATTTATTTAAATATGGTTTAATATTTTTAATTTTGAAATTTTTGCTAATTTTGAGGCAGTTGAAAATAATTTTGTTTCATTAAATATTTTATAAATTAAAAGTTATTTGATCATGTACATTTTATGATCTATGCAGTTTGTCTATTCTATAATGAATGCTACTATGATAATTAATATTATACAAAACAAATAAATTTGTTCTGTCATTAAAATAATATATAATAACAAAATACTTTTGTGTTTAAAAATGTTTATTATATTATTGAATATAATTTTCTCAGTAAACTATAATTATTGTATATACCTCCTTCTCTTTTACAATAGTTAGGTGAGGCCACTTGTTAGGTCACTTGCCTCCCCTGACGAGTCGTCACTGGGTGGCCTACCTGGATCAAATCACATTTGTTAGTCAATGAAATTAAAACTTAAAAGCATAGTGTGATGTGTATCACATTATTTTTATTGTGAAGAATACATTCAAATGCTTATTAGCGTGGGCTATATCTTATATAGCTGTTTCAATCTTTTAGTAAAATTATGTACAGTTTTTAGATGGAAATAAATTCAGACAATTTTATTAATAATACAACTTTAACATAGGTATATAATATAATGAGTAATGACTATGAATGACAATTATAAATTAACATATTATATTATTCAGCTGGTATTATAATATTATGCGAGCTGTTATAAATCTACTTTTATATTATTACAGTTAACTTTGGAACTAAAATTAATTACTCAAATAAATAAAACAAATATCTTCCTCGATATAAAATTTATAATAGAAATAAACATAAATAAAAATTATAATGTATAAACAAAAACCATGCGATATTCATAATAAAATATTTTTTCGATTTACATGTAAACGGAATAATTGCAACCTCCATTGATCCAATATATTAACAAGTTTTAGAGAATCTGATAATCCATTTGGTTTAATCACATAATTGAAAAAGTCATACATATCACTAAGTTTTTTTTCGTCAGTATATAAATCAAAAACAATCACAATATGTTCCAACAGATGAATAAGACAATATAATAGTTTTTTTGGTTTTCTATTAAAAAAATCTTTATTCACCAAATCTTGAACAAACCTGAAAAATATAAGCATTAATATTATTATTAAATAATGTACAATGATTTAATAGAGCTAAGGGTGTGTTTAAAAAGAAGTTTAATTGAACATTTTTTTTTGCCAAAGAACATAGAATTCTATATTTAATTTATTAATTTTTTTATCTTCTAACATATTTTTTATTAAAATAATCATAAATAATACCATTGAGTATACTTAATGATAATACCTACCACTCTTTAATATTAGATGGAAATGCACTTAAATTGTTGGTTTTGTCTAAAAGTGATTTGTATAGTTTGAATGTTAAATAAGTATATATTGTTTTCATTGTGTTTCCTTTTAAAGGTAGGAATAAATCAACAACCATTTTAAATAGTGTATTTTTATATTGTGAATACAATTCTTGAGCAAATGTTATAATAGAAGTATCATCATTTTCTTGAAATGCAGTTTCGATACAAGCAGTAAATAATTCTTTTAAAACATTTATCATTTGTCCACAATGGTTATCAAAGGATATTTTAGCAATATACTGCGCCAATGTTAGTAATTCATCATCACTAAATTCCTTATTATTTTTCAGTATATTATAAGATACAAAATTTATTGTTAATTCAAAATTGTGCTTTTCAATTTTTGTGCAATCTTTTATTTGACACTTTAATGGTGAACTATTAGTTAATGAATCCAAATCAGCTCCCCAATTTGATAAAATATGTTGAATATCCTAAAAATCATTTTAATTAAAAATAATGTTATAGATATTGTTATTAATTTAGTTCATGTATTGTAGGTAAAATAAATATTGTTTAACATACTTTAAATACTGGCGACCAATTAGACTTCATTAGATTATTAAAAATAATGTTGGCTTCAAGTTCATTTTTCTCAATTGACATAAGAAGTAGTTGTTGTGAATGTGATCTTGTTATATCAAACTTATCATTAAAGTTTAAATTATACTTAGAGGGGTCAAATATAATATAACCAACATTGGGTAATGTAGGAGTATATTTATCAATATGTTTAATAGTATTGTTTACTTCTTTTTGAAACAAATCATCTACAACTTTCATCTCTTTATCAAGATCGGCATGTTTTTTCCAAAAGTCATCCTCAGCTTGTCTTTTTTTTAGAATTTTTTTCATATCAAATTGGAAAACTGATTTACATTTTTTATTTATAGTCATTTTATTTGGGCATTTGTTTTCATCATTTACACATTTAATTTTTGGCATCCTGAAAAAAATAAATAGATTTAGAGTAGTGGTATGATACACATGGGTATTGAATTTTATACAAATGTCTTTTACCAACACTTTAAAAATATTATGTTGGGAAATTCAGGATTAAGCAACTAATGGAAATTGGTCAAAAAAATTAAGTACTTCACAGGAAAAAAGCAAAAATTCTATAAAAATCTAACAAAATGATATTTTGCTCAGAATTATTTTCTGAATACTTTTCAATACTTAGATATAAGAACCTAAGTATTAAACATTATGTAGGTAAGAGATGTTAATAATTAGTGTTATTCACAAATTTAATAGAAATCATGTATAATAATAGGTAGTTAAAACAAATATAATACTCAGAGATTTAGATCTAGCAACTTACACAAAATGTTGAGAAAAACTTACGTATAAATATTATGTGATGTATATACATACAATTGAGTAATATAGTGAAACAATTCTAAAAAACTATTCTATTATATATACCAAACTGATATAGAAATCAATATGTTAACAGAAATAGAATAGACAATCATCAAAATATTTATAGGCATTTGAAATATTTTTATTAATGCTTTTCTAGTAATGTTTCTATACTTTTTGACAACTATTTACTGTTCTTCAACATTGAAGAAACATAGTTGGAATGATTTAAAAATCTAAAGTAAGACAGGTCTTTTTAATTAATGTGTAAAATCTAAGATATACATAGTAGACATACACAATATTAAAAAATACCTATATTTTAAATTAAAATACAAATTATAAAAATAAATGTATTGGATTACATAAATAAAATGTCTGCAGGTAGGTTAAGAGACTCTGTTTCCTATAGTTTTTAATTATTTTTATTTAAACATATTCAATCACATACAATACACAGAAATTATTAAATTTCAGTACATTTTAAGATTTTATGGTAACTATAACTCAAGACTATGGAGTTCAGTTGTATTAAATTATTGCACGAACTGTGATAATCTGTGATGATTGATGCTGTAACAATTGATCTTTACATAACTAAGTTAAAAGAGTATAATTTGTTGTAAATATTATTAAATAAACAAAGTTTGATATTCAATAAGTAATAACATTATTTATAAAATTGTAAAGCAAACAATATGTATTTAACAATTGAAATGGAATACTATTTAAATATCTTTCACAAACACAAAACCTACTCAATACTTTATATCCAAAGCAAAAATTGTATTTATACGATACAATTTATCAATTAAGGAATTGTGTGATATTGTAAAACAAGTTAGATGTTGTCACGAAAAGATAATTAAAATTAATGAGTTTTGCTTACTTGATCTTATGAATAATACTTCAATTCAATATGAAAATCCGGATTAATAACGAAATATAGATTTTAGATACAACTGTGAAAGCGAAAAAGGCTTGATAAGAAATCGATTCAGGCGATTTCAAAAATTCAAAACCGTTATTGAATATTTAAATATTGGTACGATGATTAATGTTAAATTACAAATTGTAAATCACATCACGATAATATTTTTTAGAGTTTCCATAACATAGTCCGCTTGGTTGTTTAGTAATTGATTGGCCATCATAACGCTAGTCGCTAACACAGTAGAAGTAGTAAAGCTAAAAGCACGACACCATAGGTTCATAAACGAGAATAAAATATAATATTTTATAATATTATAAAAGAAATCTGCCGGAAATCGCGCGAAAAAAAAATAACATTGATAACTTTACTGATGAGAGAGCATTTATTTTCGTCGAAAACCAGTAGACCTAATAACAATTATGTTAACTTAGTATAAGTAGTATAGTATAATTATGTAGCAGTAGTAGTATGTAGCAGCAGTCGTGTAACCCCATAACTATAATGATCAGTAAGTTTAAAAGCAATAAGTATTTTATTGTTCCATGAATCTTTTTCTCTCACAGCTGATAACTACTATCATAACGTCCTTCAGCTACGACTGCTTCAACATCGAAGTTCGAAACCGTGATCTACATTTTATGTCATAAAACTTTGATTATCCAGGTACGATATTTTTATTCACCCAATCGACGCAGAAAATCTCTTTGTCAGAAACGTCCGACTACGTAAAAACAGGTAAGCAAAGTGCACCGTAGGTATAGTCAGTTTTATCTTTCGAATAGACGTCTGAAATTTAATTAATCGTTTCGACATCTCTGCTCCGAGTCAAACGATGCATCCACATTATCGTTATTAGACGCCCTATAGAAGAGAGAGAATTCCAAAATGATGTCTTAAGACTAAAGTTTTTTTGATGATCGTTATTTCATCAAAACCAGTATCCAGGTTGTTTAACATTGTTGTGTATATTGGATATAGATTAAGGGACTACGGAGTGTACGACGTTAGTGTTTCTTAGCTTTAAATAACATACATTATACTTTATTGTACGATTTTGAGTGATTCATTTTTTTTTACCAATTCTATGTATTATGTTTGCATTCAATGGTGTTTAGGTTGTTGTGGCATGATATTGAACTCTTTTCTTATTATGTTACATGTTCCACTAGTCAGATAAATTCCTAGTAAATAGCATTGTTTAATATGTGGAAATTAAAATCTTAATACAATTTTGTTCGCTTTTTTAATATTTTTAATTGATTTCCTACTAAAGTAGGTGAATTCAGTGTTACATTTGATTGAAACCATACACTTAATATTAAGATTATTAATTAAATGTTTAGAAACATTTACATTCATTGTACTTGTATAAATACACAAAATTGATCCAACATCAGAAGTATTTTTATTTTTTTTATAATACTAGATTATTTTTCAGACAATTACCATGTCAGTCTCAAAAGTACTCTACCAAACAATTTTGAGGAGGCCATCTCGCTTCTTTGTCGTTATAGCAGTTGGATCCCTGTTCTTTGAAAGAACACTAGATATTGGTATTGAAAACTTATATGATAGAATGAACCGTGGTGTAAGTAAAAATTATAATTTATTAATAGCGTTACTCTTAAAAATAAATGTATACTTCATAAACATTTTTAAACTTAGTCTCAATATTGTTATCTTGATTATTTAAATCAGAATAGTATTTTATTAGAAGTATGTATATTTAGTATTAAACACTTGATTAATATCTATATATATATAATTAAAAAATATAAAAATATGACATTAACAATTATTTAAAATACTTAAAATTGAGAATGGTTCTTAATAAAAATAAGTAGTCATAGCTCTACTAAGATTCCAGAAGTCAAAGTTGAATTCCAATATTGGTCTGACTAATGTACAACATAGAGCATTTAGATATGTTGACAATTTAAACTTATTTACTACTTGTTTAATAAACCTTATGTTTCAAGTGCCTTGCAGCAAGCATTTTAAATGTGCAAGTTAAAACTAAGTATAGAAATAACTAATAATGACGATCCTAGATCATGGCTTGAACAACTAAAAGGTAAAAGGCAAAATTTTAAGTGGATTTTTAATGTGAATAAAATTACGGAATGACGCTTTAGAAATATTAAAAAATAATTTTAGTTTTAGTCCAAAACACTATTGTTGAAGAGGAATTAAAGTTAAAATATGACAGCATATTAATTTTAATTATTTTTTTGAGTTAAAACTGATTGTGTTAGGTACTACTATTATATTTTAAAAGTTTGAGTTTATGAAAACTAAAGTTATATTCATTCTTATTATAAATAAAGTAAAAAAATGTAGAGATAATTAGGTTTTATTTCATGAATTTTTTGCAGTTAGTGTATAAATGTATAATGTATAAAAACTAATTTAAAATATTAATTTTATAGAATAATATTGAATTTAAAAATGTTTATTTTAATTATATCTTTGCAGAAACAATGGAAAGACATAGCCGACAAATATGCTTGAACAGGATGATATAAACACTCTTGGTCATAGTTATGTAGAACTATCAATATCTGTTAATACTTTAAAAAATAATTGAATATAAATTCCTTGAAAATATAATTAAGTAATGAAATACTAAAGTTTTGTTTTTTTTCTCACATCAAAAATGTCATACTGTATTCCCAATTTAAAACCTCAATCAATAAATTTTCACATATTGATTACCAAATAAATGGCAATTTAAAATTTAACTATTTTGACCCAAACAGTAAACAGCTAATTAATTTGTAGTTTTAATTAGTTCCTAGCTTTTCTGTAATGGTTTCAATTATTTGATTGTAAAAAGTATACTAAGGGATGTGTAAACTGGGACCAACTAATTTTAGTTGAGTCAAGTATTATTATTTACGTGGAATAACATACACATGGTAACTAAAAATATGATGTTACATATGAGTCGTCTAGTTTCAAAGTGTTCTATCTCCATGTTCACTAAATTTAATTTAATTTAACTCAATCATAGGATATTGTACGTTTTGAAACTAAATGTAATTTTAAAGTTTAAAAATATTCTGGAGTTTGACTATTTTACTTGACAATAGTGAATTATTTGAATTTAGTGCTGAAAATTACATACTATGATTCTTCATGAAAATTGGAAATTCTACTAAACAAATCAACATTGATATGGAGATAAAATATTTATATAATTATAATTGTATACAAAAAATATTATTTACATGTTATTCTAGTGAATCTTTATATAAAGGCCAGTTTTAAAGATAAAAATGACATTCCTAAAATAATAGACAAAAAAACATTTTTAATTGAATATGAAAAATAAATTAATCTTTTCTACGACGTTTATCACGATCTTGTTGTTGTGGTTGAGATCTTTTAGATGCATGCTTGGCTTGTGTTAAGAACTGATCTAAACCAAATGGATCTTCTTCTTGTTGATGTTTTTCAAATTGAACTGGGCCAGATCGACCACTAGCTTTAGGATCGCGATCTGTTCCACTAAATTCTTTGTTTGGCACAAACCTAAATAAAAACAAGAATTATAATTTTATGAAAGATAAAACATTTAAAGTTAAGTTATATCTAAATACTTATATAGATTTAGTTAAGTAAAATTCCGGGTTTAAAAAAAAAAATTATTACATGTTAAAAAGCAAGATGTAAAATATTTTTTCATATAATTATTGTTTTTCTTTACATATTTTTAGTAATATAGTATAAGATTCTTTAAGCCCTCTAAATAAAATTGACTTCAATTTTTCTCTCAAATGATTTTCTTCCAGAAAAGTTTTTAATGCTAAAAACAAGCCAACTTTTGTTAAAATGTTAACTTTTCCAGCATTAAATCTTTTCTGGGAAGAAAATAGTTCAGAAGTAAAATAAAGTAATAGCCTAGTTCTGCAGAAATGTCACCCTTTGCAGAGAGTTTAATGAAACAACAAAAAAAAATGTATAGAGTAATTATATATAAAAACAGTTAAGATTTTGCCATGAAAGAATTAAACAATTTATTGAATTTTTTTTTCTTAGCATAGGGAAATTAACCTAAGCTTTGAGTTATTTAGTTTTGCAGTCTCTTAAATTAAAGCCTCATTTAATATTTGATAAAAATTAAGATTAGAATCTTATAATACTAAACTTACCTATTTGTTTTAGCAATTTTTTCTAAATCATCACCATACACTTCTTTATCAATATTAGCAGATGGACGATAAATATGTTGAGCCAAAGAGCTGTTTCCACGCCAAGGTTTATCATATACATTATACTCTTCATCATCACCAAATCCAGTATCCATACCTGCTGTTGTATTAAGCAAACGTTGATCATACTGAGTATCTCCTGTTTTTCTAGTAATTGCTGGAAGTCCAAGAGCAATTTGTTCGCTAATATCTCGATCCCGCAATACTTTGTTTTTACGGCTGTCGGCATTTCTAGCAAGGTTACGATCACGAGCTCTGTCTTTTTGACGTTCCAAACGTAATTGATCACGTTCACGAGATTCATCATTCTTAGCAGATCCAGGAAGCCGAATACCTGCTCTTTCTTCTCTGGCTTTTTGAGCCATTGCTCTAAGATGTTCTTCTTTCTTTTCTTTCTCTTTTTGTGCCATTTTCTTTTCTAACTGAGCTCTCATTTCAACAGCTTCTCTGGCTTTACGATCTGCTATGTATAAAGCTTCTGCTAACTTAGCAAATTTTTCATTTATGTGATTTTGTTGTAAACCTCGACCATCAGCAGCTAATCTCTTATCTAATGGAATTGTATAACCTTTAGCATTTTTCCAATTGGATATACATGGAGGAATTTTCCATTCTTTTTGTTCCTTAACAGATGTTTTTCTAGTAGGAGAATGCATTAAAGGCGCAGGAGGTGATGGAGGACCTCGAGGTATTTTTTTATTAATTTTGAATTTTGGTGGTTCCATTGGATCTTTTTGAGCTTCTACTAATCTTACTACGCGTTGTTTTGATCCGGAATTATATTCTTTTCCTTGTTCAGTAGGGGTATAACGGAACCATTGAACAGGAGCCTAGTCATAAATATTATATAAAACAAGTATATTCATAAAAATTGAGAACATTGTAACTTACAGGTTTATCTGCCGCTCGTACTGGCAATGCAGCTGAAACTTTAGAATTAGTCAACTTTTCCAGAGCTATTCTTGTTTTTTCAGTGATTTCTGCAACTTCTTCTGAATCGGGCTTTTGCAAAGAAGGATCATCTTCATTTATCACCTCAGAAGGAAGCATATCAGATAGTTTTGAATAAATCACTTTATCTTTTCTTTGACCTTGGCGAGCAATCACATCATATTTAACTTTACCATCAGAAGTTAACTGTAATGCAAGAGCATTTGAAACAGATTCTTTATCTTCTTTTCCCATATTCAATGGATATTGCGCAACTTGGATTTCCGGAAAAGCACCACCATCACCAAAATCCTGAAAAAAAAAAAGTTATTTTAACAAAAATTTACTATAATTAATTGAATTAAAAAAAAGTATCTCAGACAGGAGAAACTAGCTTAAGAAGAAGTCATACTCGCTTATGTCTTAATAACACATACTATACCTATAAATATACGTTTAGAAGTTTTAATTTTATGTTTCTAGCTTAAATAATTAAGTCAAATAACCTATTATTAAACTTAAAGGTAATACAATTATCTATGTTCTCTCATTGGTTTATTATATTAAAATTTTTAACTGAATTACGAACATTTTTAATATTATTATATTACATACTATAACTCGCTTAAAGATTAAAATATTGTAAAAAACCGACGAGAGTACACAGATCATGGTTTTATCTTTAAATTTGATAATAGATAATTTTACTCTATAAATAATGAAGAACTTCAATTTAAAAAATTGTATTAAGTTTTATAAAATTATCTAATTCAAAAGAATAATAAACTAATCAAATTAGTAATTACTCCTTTAAGGTGTAGTATAAATATAATATATATGAATATATTTTATTAAACATCAACAAATCTAATTTAATTTAAAAGTACATAAAAATTTGGCTGCTTGATGACAATTAATATTGTGGAAACAAGATTTTAACAACTATTTGTAATTAATTATTTGAGCATTAATTATAAATATTAATTGAACATATAAAATTATAACTAATAGTGAAAATACACAAAAATGAAACATAAAATTAAAAAACAATAATTTAAAATTTACTTCAATAGTTCTTGGTACCCATCCATTTCTGTTTCCATATGGTGGGATTTTTACTGCATACACTTCAAAAGTATTGTTTTTTTCAGCAAGTGTTTCGTTTGATTCGTCATCTTCCTCCAAATCTTGGAGGAACTGTGTGGGCGCTGGTAACACACTGAGGAATTATAAATTAACATGCGTATTTGGTATTTGGTTTTTGATTTTAAAGTGACAGAGCGATAAACCAAATTTGTATTTACCTAAATAAAGACATTATGTAGTCTGTCTTTTAAAAACAGATGTGACTATTAACACGTCAGATGTGAATTCGTGAACCACACACTACAAAGAACTATTATAGGCTAGTCAGTTACAGATTTGAGATTTTTTAATGATGCATGAACGACACTAACACTTATTACTTAATAACACACGTTACATGCACAAACTCATAACTTTAATATACTATGTCGTTATCTATATTCTACGTTTCTGTAGTTTAATCACAGAATAATCAGAAAGGACCCCATTCAGTGGTTTAATATCAATTATTAATGATAGACACAGCTTCACAGGACATTGATTGTTTGATTGAATATTTACTAATTTTTCACGAATAAAGAAATGGAAGGGGCCAGCCATTGATAAGGAAATTCTCATTTCTCATATCAACCATTAAGTACGTTTACCGATTCGTACGATAAGTTGCCTACGAGCATGCCCCTCATCAAAATTATATCCACTTAAAGATATCTTGTTCAAATTTAATTCATATTTCATTGCCAATACTCAATATCCTAGAATCTATAGATATTTAGACACCACTAAAACATGATTTTTTTCAAATTTATTTCATAATTTCGATTTCCTTTGTTTTATACTTTTTTTTTGTCCTTGAATCGCTTTAATCGGTCGCATTGTCCACAATTTGTCTATAAACACTAATTAGTAGGTTAACATCCAGGGTTGAAATGTGTCTTTCACACATCTTTAAAGGGTTTTAAATAAATATTTTTGTTTAAAATAAAAACATTAAATTGTACCTATATTTTTAGTCTCAGAGGAGCGATTTTATAATGTGTTTATTTTTTGTATTTTTGATGTGTAGGTATGTGTTAACAATAAGAAGTCAATAAAATGTTTCGATTTTGAATTTTGAGGGTAAGTATTAGGAAAGGCAAAAAAAAATAATTAAGGAAAGCTGGGAATTTCATGTTGGGTAATCTAATTTTTGATAAAATTGATCTTGTTTTTTTATATCAGAGAACTAATAACTATAGATAGGTACTTGAGATTTTCAACAATTTAGATTATTGTTTTATATTTACGATTAAATTTTCAAAGTATTTCTACTATTTTTAAGTATAAGAAAATTATTTATTTATTTTTAGTTTATTTCTATAAATATAGATAAAAAATATTAACTGGGTAAAAGTTGTTAACTTCTCAATTAAAAAATATTTAAAATGTTTAGTCTCAATATTTTATTATACATGCATTTAAAATTTAACAAAATTCATAAAAATTACAAAATTATTATAAACTGAATAACAATTTATTTTTAATAAAAAAAAAGTTGAATTAACAGGTTTTTGTAAGTTAAATTCTAGTTATAACCATTATAATATAAAACAAGTTTTTAGTAAAGTAGTTACAGTTTTGATAAAAAAGGTTTTGAAATTTGAAAAAAAAATTGTTTTTATTGTTACATTAAATTATGTTGTTAATCAAATAAATTCATTTAATCTTATAAATAAATTTTCAGGTACTATATGAAAAATAAAATTGACCATTTAAAATTGTATTATGGTTTATGACTCATATGAATAAATTTATGTTCTAAAGAAATATCTTATCAATGCCTCTCTAATTATGTAAATATTATTGAAACACGTAATTAGCAAACAATGGTACAAGAAAACACGTAGATATTTTCTTTACAATTCTCAGTCATATTAACCAGATAATATTTTCTGATTGAGCAAATTTCCTCTTAAATCAAGATTCATTCATAAAATTTGTAAGCATTGGGTTGGCTGAGTTTCATTAGAATTAAAAAAAATGAATACAGCATTTTTAATAGAATTTTATCATTTTTTTTTTTTTCAGAAATAAATACTTAAATACAAAAAATAGCATTATAAATACTTTTGTGCAGAAAATGACATTGATAATTTGGTTAGCATATCAATATAGGACAAGATAAAAAAAAATTCTGACTATTAAGTCCTTATCAAAATGTTTATAGATTTAAATGATAAACAAGTTCTTTAGTAAAATTAATAGTAGAATAAATAGAATTACACACACATTATGTATGCTGTTATAAAATTATTATATTATACTAAAAAACAATGCATTAATGATAAATTAAATTCAAGTTGTTCAAGAGAAACATTCATTTTTGAATATCTATTATAAGGTGATTTTAATAAAAAATACAGACTAGAAAGTAATAATTATTTTATTTACATTTAAGAGCACCAAATGAATTAAAATATATTAGTCAACAATTTTACTCGAGTCTCCTAGATAAAGTTTAAAATATTTAACAATAAAATAATAATTAATATAATATTATGAATATGGAAGACTAACAATTATTATATAAATTCTTTTTTGATAATATATAATATTAAAGGACCAGTTCAATATATATTTTATATATTAGATCAAGATTATACTCTTATTTTAACCTGTTTTCTTTAAGGTAACTTTTTGTAAAATAGTCATTGCAAGTATTCAGAACACGTCAGTTTCTCGAAGTTTTTTTGCTTCTTTTGTTTTTCGTCTCAACGAGGACTGTTGTATATGGTAATATTTGAATGTATCTTCAGGTATTTCTAATAGTATGAGCTATTAAGCCAAAAAATAAGAAATTAAATAAATATTTTTAACTAAATAATATATGTTAGTGAAATATAATTATAAATAAGGGTAAAAATACCTTTTTAATAATTTTTTCTTCCTCGAGCATATGTAAAGGTGGATTTCGTAAAGCTTCTAAAGTTTCACACATGGTAGGAAAACGTTTTTTGAGATCTGAATATGATTTTTCTGGTAATGATATTTTAATCATTATTAAACCCATTTTGAAAAACGTTTTAATGCCTACAATTAATAGAAAAAATAAAATTGAATTCAAAAGATGATTTTAAAATTATTTACCATCAAACAAAAATATATCCCAAAACCTCAACAAAGTGGGCCATGGCAATGTTCTTGTGAAAGCACATAAAAACCATTCAGTCATATACATAATTGGATCAATACTTTGCTTTTTCTAAAAAATGAAATACACAATTACAAATCATACATTAAGATGTAAGATCATATACTCACCAAAAGTTTATAAATTTTTGGTTCACGTTCTTTTAACAATGCAAAAAGTATATTACCATCTCTAATCAATGTTTCCTAAACATAAAATAAATACATTTAATTAAGCGATGCTCCCTTAATATGTACTTATTGTTTAAAATATCAGTTACCATTCCTGGACTGTAGTAATCACTAAGATAATCGTCACAAATTGCTACGAAACACCAAAATGCTTGCTCAGCTGGCATGTGCATGAGAAGAAATGCAGCAATTGGAGCTTGTGCTTGACAATATCCAATTACAGGGTTTAATATTGTATACGCTTTGAGAACATTGAATAACTCTTTTTGGCTTTTGAACAAAAATTTAATTAATATTAAATGTTATTAACATTTTAAAAATGTTTATTAGAATTTACCCAGTTCCATCGTTGTCGACAAACATCTCATGATATGGGAACTGTCGATGTAGATCTTTTCTAATGTCTTCAATCCATTTACGATCTCCTGGCTGGTCACATAACTTAAAATACAAATTTTTTTTTTGGTCCAACAATTTATTTGCTTTAGTCAAGTACAACCATGCTCTAGGCCTGATTGATTGAGGTATTCCTTTTCTACATCTGTTCTGTACCTAAAAAAAAACATTGTTAAAATAAAATGTTTGAAACATGTATAAGTAGTAAATAACAATTTTATTTTAAATGTTATTACTTTTCTAAAATTCCTAATCATTTGTTTATCCCAATTGGCAGTCATATTAAGCCATTTTCGTTCACGTTCTATTGTTTTGTTAGCTGATATCATGTGTTTCCTACAATTAAACATTTTGTCATAAAAATTTCACACAGCAATGAAATAATATGTAGGTATGTATTCAAGATTTCTGTAGAAAGTACAAAAAATGTTCTCATACATGAAACAGGGAGGAGTTAAAAACAAGCCAAATATACTTCCTTTATACATAAGCGTAACTAGTGAACTGTAATGTTGTTTTCATGCAATACCCTTAAATGCATAATTATATTGAATCAAACAGGAAGTATGCAATGTATATACTGTAGCATACCAAATAGTTAGGATGACCAAAAGAGGAATTAACTTCCTGTGTTCAATATTATTTAAACAATTGTTAATATACAATATTGCAATTATACAGTTATAATATACAACCCTGATTTGATTATAAATTAAAGTCTTTTAGATTGGGATAGTAAAAATTGAGGATTTTTTAAGTTTTAATATATTTGTTTTTTTTATAACCCAATTAGCCAAACATTTTAAATGATTATACTTATTAATCATATTTTATATTATTGTGTTTTATCAGTTATTTTAGTAAAACTTTCACAATGATAAAGAAAGTTTAAGAATTCTATTTAGAGGTCTGTAAGTGTCAACATTGATTTCACAATAATAATCAAGGTGTGGTCATACAATACAAAACAATCTATAACACATCACACTTAAGCTCTAATTTTAATTAGTTTCACTTAAATGATAATTATAATCTTATTATTTATTAGATATTATTTTAAAGGTAATCTTTAACATAATTTAACTAAATACAATAAATTTCATTCAATTAAAAGAAATTATGAATAATATTAAAATAAGTTTTTAAATTTATAAACAATAATTATCTTTTCTTATGTCATATTTCATGTTATATATTTGAATTAATGTTATCTATTTATGGAAAAAGAAAATGTTAAATATTTAATTGACTTGTTAGTAAAAAAATATTGAAATCATGACTATTATAAAAAAATTATGCGTAAAATATGCAATTATACCAATTTTTTTATTATAAATCACAATAGATATTGTCATTATGAACCACAAAAGCCATAGCCAATTTACTTATAGGTAGCTAATTCATGTCTTAGGATAAATTTTCATAAGATTAATATCAAAAGGGAAAATAGTCTCATAGTACTCATAGAAGATGGTGAAGCACTTACGATTCGTTCAGATATTGGGCACCACCTAGGAAACCATGTCTATCTGGCACTGTAGACACTACAGAACCGTTAGGAGCCAGCGATGAGCTGGCATCTGAATAGTTGTCTTCGTCATTGTCAACATATCGATTTTCCATTTTGTTAACAGGGAACGGACTCGCTGCTTTCATATTATTAGAATATTATTCCGTGTAATAAACGAATCCGAACGACCTGTACAGGTGAAACTTACTATAATTAATATCGATCTGTAGATACTCGGGTCTTAAAAACTGTCATTAGCATAGGAAGGTTTAGGTTTACCAAGGTGTTGTGATCTTCGAACACGATACTTATCTACACGACAAAACCATGAACAGCGAACAACAGTGTATGGTTAGTAAATAAAAATAAACTACGATTTAATATATTATGATAAATAATATAAATAAATAACACTAATAACAGTAATTTACGCACTGCATACGGACGCGGCGAGTCGGACGTAAGCGTAACGCGCGTCTTATGAGGATCGGTGGTGGCGCGCTGTGCGTGCACAGCTTTCTATTCAATCCATCACACGCGGCGGAAGATAACAGAATGATTAAGGTAATAGGTACCCACGAATTGCGATCGACAAGTGGCGGCGATGATTACGAGAACGGGATAACGCGAGTAATTCCGAGTTTTCCTATTTTTCTCGGTATTTTTTCTTCGTTGGTAGAGGCGGTGGGCATTTGATATTGTCGTCGAATGATAATGATAATGATAATAATAATAACATTAATATCGGTCGTTCGCCAAGGCCGATAGACAAAAAAAAGTGAGAGATCAGGGCCCGAGCAAGCGACGGACAACACTATCACTAATAACGCAACAGCACAAACCGCACACACTGCACGACGGTAAACGACTGATACGGCACAACGGCCGAAATGCCGAGTGCCAATCGGAGTGGTGTGTGTAAGAGTGCGGGGCAGAGTGGAGTGTGAATCGCCGACAGTGGACAAGTGTTGCTGTTGCGGCGGCGGTGACTGGCGGACCAGTGGTAGATAAATACTCAATCCGTAAGAGAAAACGTGTCGTTTGTAGGTTTACGATATCTCTCTGTTGTTTTCGCAGTACGGCAGACGGCAGTCGGCCCTACCCACATTATTTGATAATTATTGTTAATTATTATAATACTGTAATTTTATTATGCAAATACCACACGACGGAACGACAAAGCGACACTGTTATTATTACCATCGCATAGCGCGTGACGAATTCCAGTGCAGCTCACGGCGACGGGCCAAAAATATCCGCAACGTTATTTTTAAAAATAACATCAATTGCACTATTTTTGTATTCTTGTTACTCGTTACTCGTTACGACGTCGTCTCGTGACGAGTTCATCAAACCACGATTACGTAACGCTTATTATGACATGACATACCTACCCACCTTGTTGTTATTCATCACGTTTTAAACAATATTGAACATTTTATGTATAACGCTTATTGAGTCCGTTACTCGTTACGAATGTCACCGATAACTTAGTTGTGCGAGTGTGTCGGGCTAGTAATTGCGGAAGAAAGTCGTCTTCCGTAAATACGTCGAAATTGTTGACATTTCGATTGCGAACACTCGGCCAGAGGACGAGGCAGTGGCATATTTACGTCTGAAATGTCTGATGGCTGAGGTGGCAAGGTGATAGTAACTCGGGACCTTTGTTATTTTTATGTTTTAATGATTTATCTAACAGAGGTTTAGAGGTTTAAATGCAGTTTTTTTAGTGATATATCAATAACATTTTAAATATTTTTTTAGCTATTACGAATTAAAATAATCGTAAATTATAAATGAATAACGAAAAAAAAACCATACCTACATTAAGTAAATGTACTTATAAAAGCCATAATACGTATAAACCTAGTTATTTCATTTTCAAACTTAACCGACAAATAAACGATTTAGAACAGATTTTTGATTTAATCAGAATGACATTAGAGAATTGATCTACTATGTAGGAAAAGTAATATAAAGAGAAGAAAAGTAATTTGTTTTTTTAAATAGTCGGTTGAAAACGAGAAAATATGTAGGATAATAAATAACAATAATGATGGAAGTCGCAAGATTCACCAGCTGAATTTGAGAAGGTATACAAGGGGTCATGATTGAGCTCTAACTTGAATGTTTGGTTCTGTTGAAAATTATGACTCATCCGTAGTTTGAAGTATATATTATAACGATTATGGCTTGTAGCGCCGAAGTGTCAAAAAGTTTATGTTGCGGACAATATCTATTATCTACTATAACTATACCCATAGGCGTAATCTGGGAGGGAGAAGAGGGGGCAACTGCCACTCCAGATATTTTATTCAGAGGGCAATAGTATTGTTTAAGTTATAATTCAATTTCTATATTTTATCATAGAAAAATAAAACAGCATAATGCATTGTATAATAATTAATAATAATAGATTTATCGTTTAGAGTATTTTATATTGGGAGATGGACAAGTTAACATTGAACAAGTAATAAATTGACGAATTTTATGAAGGTGCATAGACGTGCGCAGAGTTACCGAACAGGTGCAGCACATATTTCTATTTTGTTGATGTCTGTTGATAACTTTTATTTTAAGGCGGCTCTTAGCGGTTGTTATTTAAGGGGGAAATTTTAGGCAATTTCTTATCTTGTCGTCGCCGCCCGTAATCTTTGTGTACAATGTTATTAATATGCAAAATATTACAATTTAAAAATGGTCAATAGAAAGATTAAAATATAGTTAAAAAACAATGTAAAAATGGATTAGTGTAAAGGCTTAGGGTTTTATTGAAATATGTTAATGATTATTTTTTTTTTTTAGTTGTACCTATATGAGAATTATAATTTCTAGACTAGACAATTTAAGGCCAATTATATTGTAAAGAGCAATAACAAATTTATTTTTAATCATAATTTTTACAAATAAGTAGCGTTTAGTAATTTAGAAATTTAGAACCTTCAAAATTTGAACATAATGTTTATTTTTAAAACGGATTTTTTTATTTTTATCTAACGTTGTCCAAAAATATTATTTTTATCAATAGGGTAGGTACAAGTGTATATATCGTAGATATTATATATTCACGATGGACGTTAATCGATCGTATTCGCAGGCGTATACATATCCGACATAATAATGATAATACATTTGGTAGTTTTTGAGCATATAGGACTTGATAGATGATTCCCAATAAGTGTAATATGTAGATATTTTCCGTTTGAACTTAAGAGTTTTCGGAGAATCGTCACACAACTACACGAGCCATGACTTATAAGTGTATTTATAACGCGTATATAATAATAATGATAAAACAAATTATTTATTCACAAATGATCTAAGAACACGCTTAATATTTTTGTCACAAAGCTAATCACAAAACACGGTAGGTACTAAATTATGACATTGAAGTATTCAACGAAAGTGGAACATAATATAATAGTATTATAGTATTAATTTCAGTCTTCAGGGCTTGCATTAAAAAAAAAAAAAAATGTTATACGTTACTTACGATTAAAACGTTATACAAATTTTGCGTTTATCGTTATTCAGAATTAAAATTTTTAATATATTTTATAATTTATATAGCTATCAAATAATTGGAAATTAATTATTATTTTTAATGACATACTATTTATAATGTCTTGTGTTTTGTTTGTTGATATATCATATATTTTGTTAATCGTTGTGCTTTGTTTTGTGTTATTTAATTATTTATGTTTATCGTTTTTCGTTATAATTACGTTTACAAATTTCAATCGTTTTTTTTGTAAAATATAACGTTATTATAACGTTTGCAAGCTCTGATTAATTTATTGCATCTAGTCGCTCATATAATGTTTTTTTTTTTTTTTTTTGTCTGTCTACAATATTATTGCAAATAATGTAGATACAACGAAAATAAAAAATTGAGATGTTTTTATATAAATATTTGTGTATCTGTTGTATTTATTTATATGATCATCAGTCATCACGAACTAAGAGGTTCGTGATGGTCATATATTTATATATATATTGATTTTGCCAATTTTGTACAGACTCCACCGATTTCTATCGAATTCGCTAGCTGTATACTCTTAGTTCTGTAGTACTTATTTACTAATAATTATATTGAGTTTTAAATTTAATTCTCTATGTATTAGTATTTAATATTTGTAAATAAATATTTATAAATTCACTTATTTAAACTATGTGAACCAATATTATCAAAACTAATAACTACGTAAATATTTTTTTTATTTTTAAAATATCTAAATATTGTTATTTTGAGTTATTTGTATGTTTTCTTTGAAATATATTAGTATATTAAACGAAAATATAAGTTCAACATTATGACTCATATAATTCCCGAAACTAAAAATAAAAACATTATAACTTATGTTCAATTTTATGTCTTTATTTATTTAAGTATGCAATATAAAGTTTACAAAGTTACTTTTTATTATTTTTATACATTTTAAGCTCGGCGGAATCAATAGATAAATATAATTATGAGTAGCAATCGGCGAAATTGATAACTCTTCAAATTTATAATATATTAACACTCTTTATTTTCGTCGTTATTACATGTATGTATGTTGCTATAACTGATATTATATGTCACGAAGTTATGGGAAATTAATAAATGTTTTACACGTGATTGTATTTTATTCAGGTAAATTTACACATAATATAATATTATATATTTATTCTGTTTATTTTTTTCAAAAAATATGTGTAATTCATATATGGGATACTAAAAATGGTTTAATTAAAAATATTTAATGTATGTAATGCTTGTACATTAAAAAATAAATAAATACGTACGTCATAGTTAAAGTTTGAGGATAGATGATTTTTTTAAAAATTTTATTTTAATTTGAGTATGTTTAATTTGTAATTGATAAATGACAATTAACATGCATTTATTTAGTAGATCACAACATTTTTGAGACATCTGGAGGGATTATCAGGAATAATGGAGACTCAGTAGTTGTTTACAAGTTGATTAAGGTAGGAGATTAGACGACTATAGAAGCGTTTGTAAAATAGTTTAGCTTCTTCATGAATTGTTTTAAATTTAAAATTGGAATTAATTGTAGAGATTTATTGCGAGGACATTAATTAAATTGCATAACGAAATATTTTGGAAAGTCTGAATGTTGTTGGTGTTGAATGTTTTTGCGTTTCCCCTAATATAAATACATATTATATTATACCATATTATATAATATATACGTAGCGACATTCATTGTTTGGAAAAGTTCTTTGAAAACTGAAAGATACTTAAACAGTAATATGTATTAAGTAACGTAACTAGGAAGGGCCATTTTCGAGAATGTTCTGAGCGTGTCCTGTTTTTAATTTTACCCTTTTCACAGCTCGAATGTATCCGTAGTTATATAACTTATATCAACAAATTATAATCAAAGTGCGTTTTTAATCAGCAGCCAAAACCTTCAATAGACAGAACAGACGATTGACTATTATAGTACAAATGTGCAATTAAATATATTATTTTTTACAATACCACGAACTATGGGAATAGAAATGGTGGGAAAATCATTTTCTATATTAACTTTGATTATAATTGAGAACGACTTCAACTTATTTATGGTCGATCTATAACTGTGAGTAATAAGCTGATGTATGAAGTAGCGTGATAATAGATAAGTAATTATACGCTTACATATGTTAAACATTTTTAAAATTTTTAAAAAACGTGTAATTTAATTATATACATATATACATATCATATTATTTTTTATAATATATATATATATATATTATATGCATATTATAAAAATTGGTATACTTACCTAAAATTAGAATGTGTAAAAGATAGGCGTAATTATGTGAAAATAATAAAATAATTAGTAATAACTAAATATATCTGGGGTATAAGTCATCTACAGTTCACTCTTTCATGGTGCATTTATGGTACTTAAATTAACTGGGATGCATTCGGGTTACGTCAAAAATACTATCTTTATTTTCTTAGACGCATTTAGATATCTTATTCTAAACACATTCGGGACATTAAATAAGGGTTATTTCTGG